TTCCTACTGTTTGCTGAACATGTCTCAGATTATGGATTTGGCCTGGAATACAAGGAGACGCCTGTGGGGAAAAGATTTAACACAAAGTGCACGCACTGCTGTTTAAGTGAGTTTAGTCTTCCTGTTTGATGCTTCGCTGCTTTTGCTCCCTGTTGATGAAAAGACAGATAAAAAACATCTGATCTATCAGATCAAACTGAAGATGACTTCTGACATTTTCATGGTTAAGCAAACAAATAAATCATATCTTTCCAAAGTACAAATATGGCAGACAGATGGACATGAGACAGACATTTAAGGACACATGTGCAGTCCAGGCTCAGACATCTTTTATCGCCCTCAACAGCAGGCCATTGAGGACCTGCAGAGTGAAGAGGAGAAAGTCAACCTGCTGACCAAAGAGAAAACCAAGTTGCAGATGCACACTGAAGATGTATGTACATATTTTTCAAATTGAACATATAGTTGATACCATATGCACTACACAAATGTTGTTTTTTTTCAATATTTATTCTGTAATTTCTGAATTTTGCAATGTGTTATAGCTCAGTGCGCTTTCAAATTAAAATGCAGGACTGTTCCGTCTAATTCCTCCCAAACGTGCTCACCTGGGTGTAATTGTAGGCTGTAGGGTGCTATACATGATGTAAAGCTGGTTAATGTCTTTGAATGTGTTGAGTCATTGTCTTACTGCAGGATGAAGGCCTGGCCAACCACGTTGGCTTTTAAACTGCTAAAATTCCAACAGCTACTCTATAATTTTGGACGTCTGTCATTTGTGTTAGATGGAAAACTATAAACTCACTGGAAAGTATGTTAGGTAAGCGTTGCTAGCACTGCGTTTAAGCCTTTTTTACCTTTAAAATTGCTTTCATGGTTCGTGGCACATGGTTGCTGCAGATTGGTCAGCTGAACATCCATGATGCAAATCTGCCACCGATTACTCAGGAACTCAGGAGATCAAAGTGTGCAGAGAAAATATACACGACAACCTGAACTGTTGATACAAAGCAGGATGGACCCATCCTTTCCTGTTGTTTGTGACACATTCAGACCTTCCCATCCAAATGTATCAGCAGAAGTCAAGTAGTGTTATTTTATAAAATCTATAATATATTAATAACTGATAAAACATCTCTGATTTTATGAGACTACCTAGACTAGAGCTTTAACTATAGACTCCATGATAACTTATTTTAAATATAAGGTCAGTGCCATTACACTGGTGTAACATTTGCATCCAACAGAAACACACATGTTGTACACATTAAAAGTAATAATAAGCTTATGAACTATTCAACAGTAAAGTGAGGAATGGAAACTCGTGGTTATTTAACTTAATTGTAACCCTGTTAGCCAATACAGCTTGGCAAAAATAGGGAAACACTGAAACATGTAATTTCACACATAAAAATTGTCAAATATAATAAATGGTGATTATAAAATATATTAAAAAGTGGCACAAAGCATTTCACTATTTGCAATTACAGTCAAAAAATATTGTTAAACCCTATTATTGAATCTGTCCTGTAACTTTCCTCGTGCTCAGTTGGAGTACCAGCTGGAACAGGAGCGCCATCAGCGTGCTGAGCTAGAGAAGAGCAGGAGGAGGCTGGAGGGGGACAGCAGATCTTCGCAGGACAGTCTGGGAGAGATGGAGAAGATGAGGAATGGTCTGGAAGACCTCATTAAAAGGTCAGTCAAAGACGCGCTGCATGCTTATAGCGAACTTTTCAGAGTAGATGGGAAAAAAGCCAGTCAGCCAAAGTACTGTTTGCTCCTGACACCAACAATTTGAGGCTAAAGCTACATTCTGTTAAATTCTGTTGGGAAATTTTGCAGAGGTTTTCATAGTTTCACAGAGATCTTCAATGATCTTCTGACTTTTTTTCTAGTGTAACACTGAGGCTTGCATCTCAGGGGTCTGCTGAATCATCCTGCTAATTACTGAGTAGACTGTCTGTAAAGACTCTGTTGATTCCCAGAAGATAAATCCAAACGTCCTTGTTGATGCCTTTGCTTTATTGCTAGCATTACCAGAGGGTCAAAATGTTGGCTTTTATATTAAAATTGATTAACATAGACATTTAGACAATGAAAAATCCAAATAATTAACAGTTTTCTTAAAAACCAAAGTGAGACTGATATGTTTAACTGTTGTATTACTTAAGAAAATATGGTACAGATGTCCACAATTTCACCAGGACCTATAATTTTATTTGGGGCCACCATTATGAATCAGATTTCTTAATTTATGCTAATTAGCTAACGTTAGCATATTTGTAAAGCTCTGTGAGATTTTCTGTTTACTGTATCGGTTAAAATATTAAAAAGTTTGCAGTGTGCCTAATGGCTGAAGGTTTCTTGTACTATAATACAGTACTATATATTGTATACTGTGGTTGAAAATTATACAGGATATTGTTGTTATTTCCAGTTTGATCCTATTTGTAGTTTGTGGCATCACTACCTCATGGTCACAGTGGCTAAACATTGTGTGTCTGTCCTGTGGGTGGGGGAATAATAGTCATTCAGAGTTTGAGCTATACAATAAAGCATATTTGTTCAAAGAAGAAGACACACAGGTATTATTTCAGGTCAAATTTCTAACTTGAGAAGCCTGGAGACTCTCTTGGAAAACATTAGCATTAGCAATTTTAAAGCTCCAGCCTATTAAAGTCAGTACAACAGATATTTTATTCTTTGAGACTGTCTATAAGGTTAAATCAGTCAAAAGGTGGTTAAAGAAAGGACATAAACAGGGCACCATTATTAACATAAACATTTTCACAAACTGTGCATTTATCACAGCCATCATGATGGGTGGTAAACCCGTCTCTAAAACATTTATATCAGCCTATCTAAGTCAGAAAACATGGGGTGAATTTTTTCCCCCCATTTAGACTATATGCAAGTGACAACAAGTCTTATCTACTGTTGTCTTTTAATAGTCCACTGAACTGGAACCTAATCTGATCTGATCTACTATCCCAAGGGAAGAGAGAGCCTGATGGACTTTGGAAAATTTCTCCCTCTTGTGTGCGGCTTATATCCTGAGGCAGCAGAGCTTGGACTCTATGAGACTACATTGTATCTGCTCCATAGTCCTTTTGCATCTCTTTTAAGGTGTATGTACCTCTAGGGATTCACTAAGATCCCAGCATGTTGTTATCTGCCCAGTGATATAAAAACAGTCTGTACCCTACCCTGCAGCAACAATCTACTGAAGGCAAAAGCCTCCTGTCAGAAAACAAAAGTACAGTGCGCACCTACAATATTGTCTCCGTAACAAAGTTAAAACTTGTTCTCTTTGGCACTAATTGTTGCGTGACCTTCTTGAACATTAACAAAGTGAGTGACTCACTTGTTGCTAAGATACTATGGTATTCAAACAGTACTTATTGTCAGAGGATATTAAATCTGCCACTCAGTATAACACAGTCTTTAGTCCAGTGAAGCGTCACAGACATGGTGTTGCGATGTTGTCAAAGCACATACATATACAGAGCCTCACAAATGTGACCAGAAGGTCAGATGGAGCAACCTTTTCATGTGACTGGTGCTCCTTTGTATTTGCTGTTGATCATTGCTCTGCTTTTATAGCACTATTTTTTGTGCCGTGTGAAACACATTAAAGAACATTGTTGTAATGTGTGTAATGTTTATATTTATCAGTAGTTCAGTTTTAGATGTCCAGCCCCAAAATCACGCGGTACCATGATGCTGCCTATATTAGCTGGTCCGGGGTTTTTAAATGCAAGAGAAACTGTAGGGTTTTGGGAAACAGTTTTTGTGTTTTCTGAGCAAAAAACTTCCTCTATGCTCATTAATTTCAATTATATATTCCTTTTCTCATTAAAGGAAGGAGCTGGAGATCAGCAGTACCAGCTCCAAACTAGAAGAAGAGGAGGCGCTTAACTTTGGACTGCAGAGGAAGACTAAGGAGCTACAGGTAAGTTTGCAGTTTGTTGTTTGTCTTCTGTCATTTAACACTAGCAGTCTTGTTTAACAATCGCATGGTGAGACCTAGCAGAAAGAAAAAAGAAATCACACACCCAAACAGGTGATATTAAATTTCACTTCAATTTTATTTATATTTATATAGCACCAAATCACAACAAACGTCACCTCAAGGCGCTTTATATTGTAAGGTAGACCCTACAATAATACATAGAGAGAAAAACCCAACAATCATATGACCCCCTATGAGCAAGCACTTTGGCGACAGTGGGAAGGAAAAACTCCCTTTTAACAGGAAGAAACATCTGGCAGAACCTGACTCAGGGAGGGGCGGGGCCATCTGCTGCAACCTGTTGGGGTGAGAGAAGGAAGACAGGATAAGGACATGTTGTGGAAAAGAGACAGAGATTAATAACAAGTATGATTCTACGGAGCCCCGCAGGGGACATGGGAGAAAAAAAAATTAAGACGGACTTTTGCGAGATCTCGCAAAACAAACTCGGGATCTTGCAAAACTTTTGCGAGATCTCGCAAAAGTTGAATTCCAACAATGGCGGCAGCTACTTAGTTGTAATATTACTCTTTCTGGGTCACAAGATACACTTTTAAGATATTTTCAGGCGTGAATGTAGTTGTGTAAACGTCAGATACCTGCTC